GGTTATCTTTGAAACTATTCTGTATAAAGAACCCGGGCTTTAGGTTGGTGGCGCTGCATCAACTACCGACGATATGGTTAATAAGTCGGAAGAGCGCACGGCATCAGCTCCTCCAGCTACCAAATCGTTAACCACCACGACCAATGGTGCGGCAGCTAAGGTGCTCTGCTCTGCTAATAGTAGAGAATGCCAATTAAGTGCATTCGCTCTCAGCTATGTAGTCCTTGTGGCATGTGCGGAAGGAATCAGAGAATTCCTCGAGCTGTTAGAGAACGCTGTGTTGTGATTTTGGTTCGATGAGCACGCTCTACCCCAATTAGCGAACTTGATTATGAGTCATTGTGTTATTATCGGCCTCTCTACCTCAGTTCGAGCATGTTAATGGCGTAGTAGATGTGCGCTAATTGTACAGTGGATGTGATGTGCAGATCGATTTAGTCTAGCCAATTGTTTTGAGACAGGTAGAATTAACTAACAAATTTCAAGAATGCATCGCTGAATACGCCATCAGAGACAACTGGCCAGAAGTTTGCGTTCAGCAACGATATGTATGCGAACAATGAGGTACGGCTATATGGGGATATCACATTTTTACGAGAATTGTGTCGTTACGTTAGCAAAGTTGAAAATAGCCTAAAATTTGGATCCATAATTGATATTGAAATTTGATGGCAACGCAGCAAAATTCGTTTTTGATCGAAAACTGCCCTTCTTAACAATAGAAAAAAGTTAAAAGCGAACATGATTCATTGTAGCAGTTTCTATGAAATATTTGCTAGTCATACCTTTCCGCTGAAAGACCTACTTATATACACAATCTTATCGATTTTGTCATGGTACCACTTTTTCTCTTCTTTTGACGTCATGAATTCGTGTCAACAAAAATGCAGTATCGAGTTGGTGATAACATTCGAACGCTGTCGTGATAACAATTCATATTGCTTTTCTGTCGTCTAGTAGGCAGCCGCCGCCGAGCAGCATATTGCTCATGTTCGCTATTCGCTGAATTTTTTCTTTCTGCGACGTCACTTGCACCTTTTCAGTAGCAAATCAAGATTTATTGAGACCATTAAAAAGG